ATATTTATAGGATAATTTATATATTTGTTATTTATAAATTGAATTATGTTGTGTACTATGTAATAATACTAACCGTTTTTTACGTTTTAAATGTCACTCATCACATTGATGTTGTCTCTTTGTCCTATCTTCTTAAGACCAAATTTCATTATCCATCAGTTTTAATTTATTTAAAAATACCATTTCTAATTGAGAGTACTCTGTTTCAGTTAAATTTGATAGTGGGTCACAGTAATTTACTACATTTCCGTGTTCTTCAATAGGTCCGACAGATGTATTTATTGGTGTACTAAGAAGACGGCGACGTTTCCGACATTCAGATATCTCATACTTTTTTATGTACCACTTTGTAAACTAATCAAGACTTTTCGTAGTTACGTATTTATTAAATATTGAGAGTCGATTTGCTTCAGAATTATATGCAGTTACCGCAGCATTTTTTACCTACTTCAGCCACCTTAAAGTTGAAAATCGAATCATTTTATCGATAAATTATCGTCTACACATACACCCAAAATATACAAAAATCATTGTAAATGCAATAAATTTATCGTTCCGCTCAGAATCTAAATCAATTATTATTCCCTGACACAAGCAACATAGTGAAACGTCACTGCATTTTTAATGTATGTAGAGTGGGAAAAAACATGAGTAAAAAAAATTCTAAAACTACATTTAAATTGTTATTTTTTATTTCTAAGCAAATGTAAGCAATTTAGGTACTTACATGATTTTTTCACGATTATATATTTACGCAGTGATTGTCAAATCAGCGCTTTACGTATACATTTCACTGAATATAATTTTATATGACCGTCTTGGAAATCGGAAAAATGTACGTTAGGAACGATTTCTTATTGTTTATGTTCATCCCGTATGTATATTTTATATTATATAGGTATTTATATAAGATTGTTCGCGAACACGTATGTGTAGAGGGTTAGGCGTGTTCGCTGGGTCGCGTACACTGCACATAATATTATAGACGAACGCGCAGAGAATATAAACACGGTCCGCCGCCTCCTTTCAGATGCACCTCAAACCAAACAACCAATTACGCGTTACCCACGGGCGATGCCGATCTCCCGGAAATAAACATATAAAATAATAATAATGTATAATTCAACTTTCCGGGCCAATTCACGCGCGTGCACACTGCACACGTCCCTTTATTCACCCTTCCTTGCACGCGATGTGCCCATATTGTGTACAGCGCACACTTCTGAATATCCTTTGCACTCACACACACAAACACATATACATTATTAGTTGTTGTTGCTGTAAACAGCGTCTGACGACTACAATGGTTATGATTTTATTCGTTTTCATTTTTACCTGTGTACCCATCATTTCCGGTTCGAGAGTCGCGACACATGCATCGGCCTTGCTTTTCTTAAACTACTGAACGCGGCCATTTCCATTGTATAATTTTATTGAAATACATATCATGCATACCTATTATAAATCAATATTATATTATAATATCGTCGGTGTAGTTGAGTAGATAAATTATGTGAAAACTATAAAGCACTGAGTGACAAAAACACTTTTTTTTCTATTTAGACTATTTTAATTTTTTTTTTAATAGAGTAAGTGAATTAACACATATATTTTTTAATTCTCATTAAGTCTATATCAATAAAAATATTACTGACCTTCGATTATTTATTTACTATAGATATATCTATATCAGACTATATGCAGTTCCTATACCAGATTATGTCTAACACCATTCCCATTAACTTCAACATTTCTGTACACCACAGGTAATATATATAGAAATGAAACTTTTTTGGAGAAACGAAAATAAAATGTGTTTTGTCATCATTATTATTAAAAAAGATATGAATAATAAGAATAAATAATTAAATAAAAATAAATATATTTAAACCAAAACACCTTACACCTATGGGAGGATCAATGTTTTAATTTTGATGAATAAATTATTTTACCCCTGCCCTAGTTTTTTACCTAATTACGTCATTGAGTGTGTTTCTTTAAATTCTAAGTTAACACTGAACTTGCCCGTATATTTTAACGGAATTTAGCACCACTGGACATGCTAAATTGATAATTATATATATAATATATATCATTAGGTATAAATAATGAATAAAAATAGCTTCGTTAAAATAAGATAAAAACATAAACATCAATCTTTAACTATATTATATAGTTATATACTTATATATACAATCACTTTTTTAGGTAAGTAGGTATATTTGTAAGTATTGATCTATTAATCTTAATGTATTATAATATGATATTTCTAAGTAGACAAATGAACAAAAAAAAAAAAAAAATACACAAGAATATAATAGATATTATTTGTTGAACAGTCAAACGTGTGTACAAAAAAAAATTAATAAATAAATAAAAAACATAACAAAATATATTGTTAACGACTCGATAAAAACATAAAAAAAACAAATATCAACGTACAAACGTAAATCAATAATAATATTTTATTAAAATACAATAAATTATACTTAAAGTATAAATAGTGAGGGTGATTAAAATAACACGTTAAAAATATCCTTACACACATACAGACACATATACAATGTACATATATATATACATTCATGTGTATATATATATCATAATTATATTTTTCATACGCCACCATTAACAAACGATATTATCTAACTGCAAGAATTGATATATTCTGTTCAGATAAAAAGAGAATGCGCAGAAAAACTAATTTTTAACCTAACCGGTATGTATTCCCGCTGAACAAAGTAAAAGAAATAGATAGGTATGACCTATATTATATTATTATTTCGGCAAAGATATTATTTAAAAATGAACGTCTATGAAATATTATAGCCATTAGGTTATAATCTATGTATTATGATTAATTTGAGACCAATAACAACATTAATAATACGTACTACAATAATTACGATTATTATATGTCCTATATATTTTCATAATCACGTAATTACCTAACATTTAGAAAGGTACCTAACTTTATCGAGTCCGCCGAGATTAAAAGAAAAATACAAGCAACTTTACACAATTATTAACTTGCCGACTACCACCCATCATTCTACAGTGACTATAATTTTCTCTATTAAACTTTACTTACTTATATTTCTTATCTATACATTTGCATCTAATTAAAACTATTTCATAATAAAAAAAAAAATTGTACCCGTAATAAATGTTCTTTAAAAACAACAAATAGATAGTAAAAAAAACAATTAATGGCCATATGATATATTAAAAAAAAAAATGAATGTAATACATTTCTTTGAAATGTGTAACTACGCATTGGATATTCTCGGATTTATTAGTATAATTATGTCTTGAATTTCTCAAGACTAAAATTTAAGTGTAAAAATGATATTTTATTTAGAGAACATCGTCGAAAATTTTTAGTTTCTATATAAGGAAGTCGGCACCGCAGATAGGCCAAAACTGATGTAAAGAAATTCTAAAGATAAGCCACTTTGAATATGAATGATATTTGAAAGGTATGTCGTATTTTTTTTTAACAAAAAGATATAATCATTTAGAAGAAAAAATTATACAAACTTAGAAAAAGCTGATATGCTTTAATGAATTTTCAACTAGAAACAGTTATGACATATCGATATTCAAATAATAAAAAAATGTGTATACTTATTTTCATTAAAAAGAGAATTGGCAAAATTACCTATACTAAATTCCTTAAAAACATCAGACGTCCTCTTGATAAAAAAAAAAAAAAAACTAATAGATTATTTAATAACTTTAAAATGTGTGTTTTTTGTATACATTTGTGTAGAGTAAATGGATTTACAGAGAAAGAACTTTAAAAAGGTTACAAAAAACAGTTATTTATTCCATTTGAAAATTATGAAAAAATGCTTTATTTTTTGGAACTTTAAAATCTCCCGATGTTTAAATTTTATAATTCTTTAAAAATATTTATTCGCAATTACTTTAAAACACTTTTTATTAAATATTTGGTACTTACATACCTATATATATATATAAATTTATAATTCGAATTTTATTTTTAATGCGAAGAAATATAAATGTTAGTACATGTTTGTATAATACCATGTTACGGGAATACTAATATTATTATTACATTTATATTGGTATTATTTTGTTTCCTTCTCAAAAACTTAGAATTTCTAGTGCTTAATGCGTGATAGGAACAAATTTTTCAATCTCAATTACAGATTTTAGATGCATATTGACTACACATATTTGAAAGTAAGATTGTTATTTGCTAGTAGGTATGTCGCTCTATGCGTGTATAGTTTATCAATAGTTATACAAAATTAGTATCGTCTAATTCTCTAATTAGTCGAATCTTTTAGAATATCCATCATGGAGAGAAAGCAGTACTGTAAACTTACCTACTGTTGTTTTATTATGCGAGTTTAAAAATGTCTAAAGTTTCAAATAATAATCGTATAAGTCAATACATAACCGAGTTCGGAGAAAATATATTTTTTACTGATGGAGATATTTTATTATTTAAACTTTATGAAACAAGAGTAGGTGTTGATAGGTGATTTATTGTCACATGACATTTAAAAACAGAAAAAGACAAATCAGCAGAGCAGTGTCAACGATATTAGATTAAAAGCACACAACAAAGTAATATTTACATATATGCTGTTAAAAAAAAAAAAAAATAAAAATACTTATACAAATTTTACATTTTTTAGCTGCATATTTTGATACATTTAACTGCATATTTGCTTGCACATTTTTATCATTTTTTGTGCAACAAGTCCCGAACTCTATGTATAAGTAATAACTAAAAGTATAATAAACGCGGTTATGAGTAATGAATCAACTACACATATGTTAAACACGCAACTAAATCAAATATCATATTCGTTCAGAAACACGAGGTATCGAATTCAGGATAAAAATGTCGACTTTGATATTATAAGAAAAATAGATAATAATATTATCAATAGGTACCCATATTATATAATTATAGTAGAATATTATACATTACAGTATTTGGGCATATTATACATAGATATAAGTATTTTACGCGACGTATAAAATATAATGTTTGCCCTATACACGGACGACAGCCTCACCTAACCAGCCTCCGTCGGGAATCAGTAATGGTGCGGCGAGTTATGTGACATGATTGCATTCCTGTGGGATTCAGCCTGGACCGGCTGGTACGGTGGCACGCACGTGCCAAGGCCGTGGCGGATGTTCTGCGGCGGCGGTGGCAAAGGCGGCTGTGCCGTCAATGCGGCTGCAGTAGCTTGCGGCGCGACTGTTGCGGGCTGGTGCTGCGGATAAGGTGCGTCGTGAAGTTTGCGTAAGTGTTTCTTGAGGTCGAAGTTCCGGCAAAATCCTTTGCCGCAAACGTGACATGTGAACGGCTTCTTTTCGTTGTGTGTGTGCATGTGAAACGTCAGGTTGTACACCTATTCGGTATATTTAAAAGACAAAACATTTGAAAACGATATTAAGCACAAGAAACGATATTCACACCGTTCCGGGACTCTTTTGGCAAGGGGAGATGTGGTCGGGAAGAAGCTCAACTCAAAAATGTTATAACAAAAACACGTTATATTCCCTATCAAAGTATCTAGATTGATTCTCTCGATTTGAGGCACTATACATTTGTCCATTTTACCAATTAGATTTGAGGACACATTTACCACAATAATATTCCACCTATTTGTGGTGTAAGCTCCGCAAGAAAAAAAAATCAGGTAACTATATGACATTATTATATCTAAAAAATGAAAAAAATAATTTATATAATAGTAATCGTCCCCATTAAATAATTAATACATGTTACATAGAGTACCTATCCTAAAAACATATTATTTTAAAAAATGAAAAGTTATTTCAAAATACTAAATTACTTTGTATACAATATTTTCAAAAAAATAAAAATAAACGATTGTTCAAACAATTGATAAAATATGTAATATTATTGTAATGCGTAATTACGTCAAAAACATAAGAATTATTATGTTTAAAATCAGTAATATTTTATTTCTTCGCGTTTACAATTTAAAAAGATTCTTTACAATTATTAATATTGTATTTCTGCATTATGTTTCAGACACATATTTTACGTTTTTTTTTTTTTTTTTTGTTTTATTTATAAAAGCCATTTACAATCTGTATTCACAAAATAATACAATAAGTAAATAAGTTAACAATTAGTGTATTAGACTTTAAAACGTGAGTAAAGGGAACAGCCATCCACATCATTTTCAATTTTTTTTTTTTTTTTACTTTTAAAATTAATAAATTGCATTTTTAAAAAATTTTTGGTTTTATTTTAGACATATTTCGTTAGTTTAGCGGGAGTAAATTACCTACTTTAACTAATAAACACAATTATAACACAGTTGGAAAGATTATATTTGTAAAATAATTGTTTCCTATTGATTATAATATCATCATTGGGAATACTGTGTTTTACAAACATCACGAAGATAAAACTATTTTGAAATACTAATAAATGAACGAAATTAATGCATTAAACTAATAGCAAAATCCAACCATTTTAACGTACTTTACCACAATAGATATCAACGTATTTTTATGTGGAATGGCCTTAATAGGTATCGATTACAGCCTGTTAGCTGTTAAGACAATGCAACTGGCGGACTTAATGCTAGATCTTTTTATTATCTTTCTATCTAAACAATATTTTGGCAGGATATAACTATAAATCCAGGTTTTAAAACTCTCCGTTCTGCAGCAAGTAGGCTATTACTGTAATAATTAGAAATCAATCGCTAGAAATCTGAACATTTTCTCAGCACTCTCAATCAAACTGAAAACGCTCTAACTCGTTTTCGTAGCTTCTGGTAATTAATTTAATGTCATACGACATTCTCGTTGATTTTTTTTTTTTTTTTTAGTCTTTCTACTTTTCCGTCATAATATGACTTGTTGAAGGCCGCATAAAGCGCACTTGATCTTAAACGCTCATTTCACCTCGTTTAAAGCACTAAAACTGCTCAAACACTTGTGTCCTATACTTGGTAGATAGGTACTTACTAATTAAAAGTCCACTGAACAATTTTGCCATTTCCCAAACCAAAAAATAAATTAATGTCAAACAGAATGTTTTCTATTAAGTAAGCAGATTTTTATGCATTTTGATAATTTTTCCATATAATCGCAAATACCTATTTATATTTTATACTAACTAGGAACAAATTACATTTTAAATTTTTATAGTATACATGAATTGAAGTAATTACGATTTTTAATGCATGTTTTTAAATTTTAAGGTTCTATTTAGTTTTTGTCTATTTAATGTTTATTTCGGTTTTTGTTAAAAATTATTAAACATGTAAACATGTATTAATAAATGTTGTGGAAAAACGATTTATTATATTTTTAATTTTAGCCACAGTAAATTTATATGAGCTATATTATTAATAAATTAATTTAAACTGACATTTATATTTGAGGGAACTGTGTTCATCACAAAAATTTACCAAATCTAACCCACGGTTCAAATCCTTATAAAAAAAATCTTAACAGACTCGTGAGATGGTTAAAAATCATAAAAATCAGTATAATAATACCTAATTTTTTTTTGCAAAATATAAAGATAAATTATACTGTAGGAATTCAACGTGGTATATTACCAATTTATCAAACTCAGTTTAATATGTTCCTTTGATGTTTAGTCCCGGTTAGGCGCATAAATGATGACAACCGACATTATATACCTGATGGAAAGCTTTATGGCACACGGTGCACTTGTACGCTTTTTCCACACTATGCGTGAGCTTGTGGTTCTTGTAGTTGCCCTTTTGATGGAATCCTTTACCGCAATATTCGCACGTATATGGCTTGTACCCGGCGTGTATCCGCGTATGCGTATTCAGCGTCGAGCTCCTGTTGAACGCCTTACCGCAAATAGCGCATGTGTGCGGCTTTTCTTCGGTGTGTATGATCTTGTGACGGCACAACGTGGACGCTTGCCGGAAACCTTTGCCGCACACCTACATCACACGGATACATTATACAGTAAACTAAATTGCATGGAAACTTATTACGTAATGGTACAGGGTGATTCTTTTAACGTAAATCAGACAATATATGGAATTTACAGTTCTACAGATCTGATTGATCGTCATAGAAACATGTAGAATAGTATGTGCTTAAGTGTTTATATAAAAAAAAATAATAATAATTCCTTATATTTCGTACAAGGTAATATGCCTGCAAACTGATTCAAGGTAGTAGAACTGCACTGCATATATGTATATATTATTCATAATACAGTATGAAATCGCAACTATAACGAAGTCATCTATCGTGAAGTGAGGGAAATGTCCTATATAAAACTTAAACTATATTACGGTAAGTATATATATATTTTCACAATACAATTACATTTAATAATTTCTTAAAGTTGAACTATATATTATAATAAAATATAAGTATAATGTATCGACATTTTATGGTTAACTAAGAACTTACATAGGTCAATAAATAATATGTATTTCATTTAAATACATAAATCATAATTTGCTATTATTACTTTTGACCATATAAATTGATGTTTTTCGGGCGTTGTAAAAAAAGCGTATAAGGTATAATATAATTCAATTTTCCCTCTCTCGACAAACTCCATGTACATGTACTTATACGAAAATATTTTACTTGGTCATACCAACCATTATTTCATTATATCGCTAATATTATGCAGTTTCAATGACCTTTTTTTTTTAAAAAATTTGAGGCTTTTACATTTAGATTCATAACTTCACGATTCTACGCTTAAAATCGCTAAAATATTTTTAAGTATTAATTATGCAATCAAGACTACCGAAATATACGTTTGATTTTTCTTTTCATCATTTGAAATCTAAATTTAAGATTGAGTAGTCCTTATTTTATTTATACTTTTTGTAATATTATGTGTTAACAGTCGTTGATGTATAATTTTTGAACGAACATCAAATGGTCGCAACAATTTAACAGTATGTCAAATTGGACACATATATTATTTTCTATATATTGATTACATTTAAATATTAGACGCAATAATTTATATCAACAACCTACGTAAAATACGTTAATTTTATATTTTTATTTGGTTTTTAATAGATATATTAATTTAATCGTGTTAAACGGTTTACTTAATTATTTTATTTTATTTTTCAATTTTTCGTTCAATACGTCAAGTATAATCTTCACTAACCAAATTTTTTTTTTTTATTATTTTTAATTTAAAATACAATTTAATGAAATATTTAAGATAATAATTTTAAACCCTGAACTATAAAATGACACAAAGAGAGAACTGATCATTAGATATTAAGAAAGTAACTATTTCAGTTTCCGTGAAACTGTTCAACGTTGTACCATATTGAGTATTACCGAATAAGATAATAAAAGTAGTTTATTATTGAAAATATGTGATATTTTGATAATAACTGAATAAAGTTTCAACACAAGTACTTACCTAATAGGTAGGTAACTGTTGAACCAATCAGCTCTGAATATTTCTTTAGAGGTCGGGGAATGTTTATAGCTTCGATTTTAAAACTTTTATGTTGCTAAGGGTAACTTGCACACAGCAATTTCATTTTAACTCATAAAAATAGATTATTTTTTTTTATTTATGTAAAGGTTTTCCATTGGTTACAGAAATAGAAAAGACTTTTATATAATCTAACTGTATACCTATATACAAATAAATGCATGTTTGTAGCTTATTATAGGAGGTACCTACTCAAAAACTAATAGACCGAAGACCAATTTTGATGAATATTTGGAAGATTGCTCTTAGAGATATCAAAAAAGTTTAGATAGTAGTTTGAATGTATATCAAGTACCATATAAAATCCAACTAAGGCGGATTACCCATATCAGTTGAACTACGTAGTTTACAAATCGATTTATATAGCGATTTACCTATGAACTGAGGTACGTCAAAATTAAGATAAACCTACATTATGTAGGTTATATGATTGTTTTTTATGGATGAATACGGATATAAGTTTAATTTTGGTATAAGATTAAGTAAACTAACTCAATTTAGAAATTATAAGAAAAATTAATTAATTGTTTTTAGTATCTTGTTGAATGAAAATACATTTATAATTATATTTTATATTCTTATTTACTTCAACTTTCAAAATCAATAATATAACGAACAAAAAATATGTATGCAAGAAAATATATAATTTAACTTTATATTATACATGAATAGAAATTTAATTAATTTAATTCACTGCTTACTATTACAAAACTTAAACTCCATAAGCTGTTAAATAAAGAAATTCGTTGTATAGCTTAATTAAAACCGAAATGCTTTACCTAACCTGAACTTTTTAACCCTTAAGGCTTAAATAATATTGAAATAGGTGAATATTTTTTTATTTTAAATGGCTAATTAATTAGATATATAAAGACAAGTGTTTTATTTTAACAAATATTATCTAAATAGAAGAATTATTTATTACAAAAATGTTAATATCAGATGATTATCAATCTGAATGAGAGAAAATGAGAATAAATTTTCATCAGTCTTAAATTAGTTGATTGAGAAGATTATTTTGTGAAAAAATACAAAATTAGTCAATTCAAAGTATGTAGATATATGCATGAAAAATAAATATTAAAAAGTAACTAGTTAAATAATCAAAAAAAGAATTTTTTTCTTATATTAATATTTATATTTTATACGAATATAAAAATTGCACACATTAACTTCACGTTCTTCTAATCTGTATTTCTGATTTAATAAACTTAAATTTCATAAACGATATGAAATGAATGTTAAATATTACGTAATGATTAGTTACCTTATTACTTTCGAGTATTTAATTTTAAAATTCTATTTCTTCTAACATTGTTTATGCGTAAAAATACTATAAAAATTATTGCATTATCGAGTATTTCAAGATTAAAGAGTTAAAATGCTTCATCAGATATTATTGCAATATGCCAATATATTTATATAATGTAATAAAAATAATTTATATTGAAAAATAATGTGTATTTTATATTTATTGTTTATTGTGTAGTCATGACTGATCCGTAGTATATAGTATAGAGTGAAGGGATCGATTGAAAAACATTTTTTCTGTGTAATATAAGTTTTTTAACATATGTATTATGCTTTAATAAACAGATAAGTAGTATCTAACACTAATATTGTATATGCATTTGTTCCGACGGTTTACTGTTGACTAAGAAATAGTTATGAAACAGTGTATTAAATACTGATATAAAATGATACAAGTAGCTAGCTGATGTATACAATATCGTAGTAGGTAGTATTTCAAGTAGAATATTCTGAGTCAATATATTGTTTGAAAATGATTTTATATGGTTAGGTACATTTTCCAAAGACTTCTTAATAAAAAGCCGGAAACACTTAATAGGAATCAAATAAATTTCTACATGACTGACCTCGTGGTGGTACATTAGTGCACGAAAATAAAGGTATATTAGACGGGTAATCCTCTCAAATATGTGACCGATTTAGGGTGCACACAATAATATTTTATATTGCTTAGGTTTCAGTAAGTAAGCTGGTACTTATTCATTTTTATCGTATTATGTGTGTTTGTTTACCTGCAATGAACCGAGAGGGAAAAATAAAAATAAAAACTACGTAATATGAAGAAAGAAAAAAAATCATATGATATGGTAGCTTGTAATTAAAGTCATTATATTTATTAATTTTAGTGAAAACGTAATACATCTTTATCGACTTAAAAGTGTTTTCTGGAATTTTTTAATGAAATTTATGGTATTTGAACTGAATTAATTATATCATATGTCATGTATTATCTATTTCTCAATCACTAAATTATTTCATAGTTATGACATCAGCGGTGATGATATATCAGTACATCGTATAATTTGATATAATCAAACACTTAAATAATTGGAAGACATAAGTGTCAAAATGAGATAAGAAAAAAAAAGTCGTATCGTATAAAAACGCCAAAATCCTAGGTACCTGTGTATTACAGTTAATAATTATTAAATAACAGAAATCATATTTAAAACTATATCGCTCAAAAATTCCAAACGTTTAATCTTAATCGACAAATGTATTATTTGATTACGATAGATTGTCTTATAGACAGTGGGTGAGCAGTTATTATATTTTAACTATTTATTATTGACATTTATTTTTTATAAAATTGCAATCGATTTATTAAATTTATATTTATTTGGATATATATTATATTTTAACAATTTATTATTGACAATTTTCTTAATATAATATATTATATAATATAATTTTTTATAAGATGGCAATTTTTAATAACTATACTTCATATATAAATATTAATTTTGGTGCAAATGATATATCATTTTTGCACCTTTGGCGCTTATGTCATGTAGCCAAACACTTAATGATCTTTATCAAAAGCGATTTTATTTAAATAATGGTTATTAATTACTAATTCGATAATAATAAAAATAACATATTCAATTGTACAATTTTTATTCGATAGCTTACAATAAGAATAATCGAACATTAATCGATAATAAAAATAATTCGTTATTGCTCATTATGCCTATATTATTTTTATAAGAAAATTTTCAGAAATTATACTTAATTTATATATGGCATATACCATATGTATTTTTAAATAAATAGGTTACGATTATATTAATTAATAGCTCATATCACAATCGAGACAATATGATAACAATTTAAACGGGAGCTCAGGTTTGTTGATCTTTTAATGATCATTTTATTAGGCATTATTCAACATCACCGAACGTGATCATTCAAAACTATTTATAAATAATAAGATATTTAGAAAATGATCATGATGACGGATTTTACAAACCGACGGGCGAATAACAGTATTTATGAGTTATATATTTTTGTTTTGGTAACTGCTCTTATTTTATCATTCTCTGTAATTATTATTAGAGAAATATAAAATTTTAAATATACATATAGATTTAAAACATCAACCAAATTTGATGAATCAATTATTATTATTCATAACCTAATATATAAATAATTTAAATAAAATTGAAACTCAATAACAACTGAAAAATTCTCTTCAAACAAATGTCAGTTACAACTTGGTTTAAGTTTTTAAGGAAATCATAAAAGAATGTCGGTAATGTTTCAGTTCCATTATTCTCAAAAGATTCCTATTAAAATACTGTTATTTTTAATTCGGTCTAAAACTCCAGAATTGTATCTTGTAAAAATACATTAATCTATAATGTAATTAACATATTTTTACGTTAGAGGAGCTAAATTTAAAATATCCATTTTTAAACTAACTGCAGGGGTCACCAATTTATTTTTAATATTTGGTATATTATAGCCCTTTAATTTTTATCAATAACAGCGTGATACATAATTAATTTATATTTTGTGTATTGATTTGACTAATAAAGTTAAAGGTTAGAGACCTCGCGTGGTGTTTGGTACTTGGTAGTTCTCATTATGCTGATCATTTTGAGTGGTGTGTTGTTTAGTGTATGTTTTAATATGTCCGCATGATGTACAAATACGTGGTAAGGGTGCTCGTTGTTGAGATCAAACAGATCGTGCAAGTGGGTAGACAATAATGCATATGATTAGTGAAAAATCTTTTGTAAATATAACGCAAACGTTTTTACTACAGCGGGTGATGGTTATGAATTGATTTAGACGCAATGAAATTCTGAAAAGTAAAAAGTTGTTGTGGAATATGTTTAAATTAAAAAGCAAAGTTTTCAACTCGCATATACATATTACATAACCTAATTATTATTACATTTTGACGTTCATACATCTAATGAATATTATAATTTTTATTATAGTTATACATCCAACGTTTAGGGAAATTTTATCATACGTATTATTTTATGGTTTAAATTTTTATTATTCAAATATACTGGTAAATACTATAGACTAGGACTAACACCCAACTCTTACGCAGAATTTTAAATTTTAAATTTAATATTTATTGGTAATCATACCGTAATTTCATTATTTGTTATAAGTCTATTACTTTAAAACATACCTTTTACAGGTAATATAGATGCATAAATAATAATATACTTGAGTATTATGAATTAAAGTAATATTAAAAATTATAGCTTTGCAATCATGAAGAGACTAGTATATATAAATATATATTTAATATGCATTATATACACTGATAAAGTCACGAGTATAGCGCTAAATATACTAGGCACGGTTTAACAATAAAATTGAGAAATATAATAATATAATATGTATAAACATGTCTTTACAATTTAATGACTGCTCTAAACACTATACAAAATAAAAATACATAATATTATTACATTAATAATAAACAGAATTGGCAATAACGTAAAAGTCGAATTTGACAAAAAAGTGGAATGCCCGACAACGGTCTGTTGTCTGTTATCTTAGATTTAACTGGCTGAGTGGGGGTAACAAGGTGTAGTTAAAGAGGTGTAAGGGATTAATCAACTATTAGGGCTCTGAATTTATGTTATTGATATTACATTTCTTTTTTAATCAATGGTTATTATCAATACAACTTATAGTAAATACATGTACTTAGTCAAGATTTTTTAGGGGATATTTTAATATTACATGTAGTGGCTTTACACACTCCATTGAAGTCATAAATCTATTATTAATAGTATAAAATGTGAAACAAGACACATCTGGGCGAAGGTAGCAGCAAACGATACTCAAACTGAGCATGTAACATATGGGTTCATCATATTGAAAAACGTTACATGTTTTCGTACGTCCAAGATAACTGATTTTATTTTCATAGGTAAGTCTCGTAAACTGTTAGCTGGTTTACCCTAGGGGCTCTTACGAAAGTACTAAAATGATCGCTTGAGGGAGTTTATTTTATTCAACAACTCTTTGTCTGAAATGATTAAACTAAACAGCATTTATTTATTTATTTATTTATTTATTTTTTTTGTTTATTTTCAAGGTACAAAATGGGAACGAGTTATAATAAGTCGAACGCAAATAAAAACCATATATTTTAACAGACGAATCTGCTAAACGGGTATTTGACGTGTTTCTACAATGAAAAAGACGAACAATATCTTTAGATGGGCGTCGCCTGTAACCGCTTAAATGCGCAAATACGCATAGGACAAAATCGCACACAGATTTTATAATACTGAATATCTCATTACCGCATACAAATTTAGCCATACATTTTTGGCAATATCGATTTATTGATAAATGTGTATATTTAAATTGAAGTTACACGATATTTTTAAGGTTTATCTGTAAAAGATTTTATCCATAGTGTACAAATTTGTCGTGAATTATCAGTCGGCTAACAGTTTTCAAACCATCACACGTGACATTTAAAAAAATAAAATAAAAATAATATTTTAACTTTTTACAAATAATCATGGAAATAGTTCCATTAATTTTGATAACTATAAGTTTCGTTATTTTAGAACTAATAAAAGTTTTGATGATATTTTTTAGCAATGTATGTAAAAAATTGCAGTAAAACTATTATTACCATTAATAATAAAACGGTTTTAATTCGAAAAAATATTAAAGATTACCAATATGATGAAGACAATGATGAACAAAGAAAAAGAACTGCAAAATATTTGTACAGTCATTGAACTTAAAGCTATTGAAAATATATATGAAAAGCTAATAAAAATAATTCAAGAAGAGTTGTCAAGTATTGAAGATTCTCAGGTATGTTCATGTAATATAAATGCTCTTCAAAAATCAATGTATCGAGAATAACGCAAAACTTTACCTACCATTTCATCGTCTACAGCCGATGCTATTCAAAAATATAAAGCTGTTTGTATTGATAAAAAATCCAAAGAAAATTTTTTCCACGTATTTGAAGTGGATAAAATAATAATTGTAACTTTCAAAACCAATTTTTTATTTTCAACGACAATACAGAAACTCTTTTAGTCGACGGTACATTTACATATTGCTCAAAACATATTTCAGCAATATGCAATATACAATAGACCACTGCTTTCTGTTGGTTTTTTTTTTCATCTAAAACTTTAAATTTTTATGTTCGTATATAGACAAATTTAATAAGCCTATGTTTATAATTAAAAATAGCAATTTAAATCCATGATTATTACTTTTTGATTTTGAAGTCAGAACTCATACTGCACCGAGTAATGTATTTGAAAATATTAAAATTAAACCATACCGATTTATTTTATGTCAAGCATGGTATTGAAAAATAAATTTTATTTTAATACTTTATAAAAAGTATAAAAATAAAAATACAAATATTGGAAAGTGGTTTAAAATACCAATTAATTACAAATGGTCATATTCAAATCAACTGAACTATCAACATACAAAAATATAATGTATTTACATATATTAGACGTACCTATCGTCTTTACACAATAAATATTTAAAGGAAACAAATGAAGTACCGTATGCGGAATCTTTTTGACCAGAGTTGACAAAGTGAAAAATATTCAATTATGACTGAAGTCTGTAGACAAGATATTGACCGAAGCTGAACCCAATATGTTGGCCGAAACTGGACACAACAACTTTATTTTAGTTTGTTTTAGTTGAAAAAACTATCCAACAAATCGAATCCAATTCACTAACATTGTTTTGTTCGGATTGTTTAAGTGTTTGCTGCATTGAATAAAAATAACAGTCATACTTTTAATAACCATGTTGGGTTGAAAATAATCTTTTTGATATAAACGCTATAGAGTTAACAAGATTTTTGTATCAATTGACAATTTTATTGTTGCAATTTCCAAAAATGTTGTATTGATTAAAAATTGTTAATATAATAGTTTGTATTATTTTCAAAACATAATTCATCAGTTTTGTTGCAAATAAATAGTTACATAATAACTTTTAAAAATTTTAGACTAATTAATATACATATACGTATTATACCTATATTGTTGTTTTTACAGTATATTTACAGTATAATAATTACTTTTTATAATATTTAATTATTTTCATTATTTATCATTTATTTTTATTGTAATATTAGTCTATATAATTAATTCTATGTCATCATCGTATAATATAAATCTATATAAGTGCATAAATATTCATTTATGTACCTATAAATATACAAACAACTTTAATATTATACTAGTGTGAATATGCAATTTTGTTACAATCATAGTTTATGTTTTACCCATTGTTTGAGTTTTCTTATTATCCATGTGACATTGTGAAATAAGTGTTACTTGTCATTTGTCAAATATGTTAATAAAATATAATACAATACTATACTAATATTTTAATAATGCTTTATGTTTTACTACACCTACTTATCGATATATTTACAAAATTATTATTATTTCATTAATTATTTATATTATAGTTATGGTTATTACATTTTAATTCTATATCACAAAGTTTTTATTAATTAATTAATTTACCATTTAGTCATTGGCGCAATTTGGGTTTAAGTTAAACTTGAGGGGATTAGAATCTAATACCAGACCCAGTAGATCCTAAATACGTATTTTGTATAAGTTAAATATACTGCCGGTTATCATCGTTGTTGAAGTCAATATGCGTCCAAATAGATTTTAAAAGAGTCTTATACATTAATAATTTAATATTGAGACTGCAGTTGAGTTCATTGATGTCGCAGAGAGAATATAACTATACAGTTTTAGTATGAAGTCGACTTACTAATGCTTATCTTTTAAATCGTACATGATTTACTTTAGCTTGTATTTGTCAAGGCATAGTCTAAGACATCGGAAATAAAATAACAGTGATTCAAGTAAATTAATGATGAGTGCAGCGATCTATGGAGGGCAGTTACAATTATTGTTTTAAAACTCTTTTGAAATTTTAAATCACAGGAAACGTGCGTTTAGGGTATTATCTTATGTATATAAATTGTATATGTTTATGTCATTTAAGTGTTAAAGTATACCTTGCAAATGAACGGCCGAGCGCCTGTGTGGACAGGCATGTGTCTCGTCAGGTTGTAATGAGCGTAGAACACTTTTCCGCAATGGTTGCATGTAAACGTCTTAACCGGTGTAACAGGGGTGACAGCTTGCGACGATTCCTTGGCGCTGGACGGTGGCAGAACGGATTTGGATGCGGCGAGTCGCCCGAGCGTCATCTGATGCGATGGCGGTGGCGGCACCGGAAGTGTAGGAAGTACAGGAAGTGAAGTGAGCACCGGAAGTTCGGATGACGGCGGGGGCGGTTGTGAACAGGAATGAGCCAGTCTATCTACCGCGGCTAACGGCAACTTGGGTTGTTGCTGATAGTGAAACAGCTGTACGGCCGTCGTCGTCGTCGTCATCGTCGTTGACAGATAACGGTCGTTATTGTTGACGGTCAGCGGTGTCCGTCCATCGTTGGCGGAGACAGCACAGTGCGAGGATTGCAGTGGAATGGACCTGAACGCCGGCACGTATTTCTTAAACGCCGATTCAAGTGCGTGAAAGTAGTCGGTCGTTGGTGCGTTAGGCTGTTTCCGCACGTCCGGTTCCATTATGCGGGCAATAGAGAAGGTTAGCGAATCGGTCGACTTGGGACCGTACTTTTTCCGGTAACCATCCCCGTCCCGGTTATTGCCAATCGACGTTATCGAGTCCATGGCGGCGTTTACCGGTGAAAAAATCATCTACAACACACAAGTGCCACGTTATGTATGGTTAAGTATAATGTGTAGAGCCGGACAAGGTATTATGTAATTAATTAATTGATCGAATAATTTAATAATAATAAAAGTTGATGGGTACGAATATTGGTCATATTATTTTATATACAATGTAGTAGACATACATAATAATATGTACCTGCATGTTGAATCAATCACAGAATATTATATCTACTACTAACTTAGTGTAACTCGTTTTGTAGGGAGAGTAGTGGTATTAAGCTGTATGCCTACAAAGTCAATGACCCGGGCACAAATCTGAGCGGACACTTATAAATATGAGAAATTTGAATGAATATTTCTATAATTATTATTATTGTTTTTATGAATTAATTTTATTATATGGACTTGTAGATTTTTTTTTACAAAATTTCACCTTACGTAGGAATAGATTAAATTATAATAGTGATTTTTTTGGATATTTTTTTCAAATTAAAATGTATTTGAAGTTTTATAAAACATTTCAACACAAATAAATAACTCATATCTTACACTTAATAAAAATAGAATATATAGTATTAAATTTAAAAAAAAATGTTTATTATTTTCTATGCAATCACGGTTATTTTTAGCGATGTCAAAAATAAACTGTTATCATTATTATTATTACATAATATATTTTTCTCTACTGCCATAAAGCAGAAATGTCTTTAATTATTAATCATAATTAAAAATAAATAACATCCCGTAGTACAACACTGTATTCATCGCTCCGCCGATAAGAATCTAAAAAAGATACGGGAAGAATATAATCGACATATTATAGAGTACATGTACTCAGTTATCAAGGAAAATCAATGCTAGTCAATAACTATTATATCTAAAGAATTGAACAATTTGAATATGCCTAATCATAACACAATATGCTGGGAGTGCAATATTTGGTAGCTTCAGCCCTGGATACGACGTTCGACCGACTTTTTATATCAGGTAAACACGCAAATAGATTATTAATAAATAACTCTATTTGTAGTTTGTACATATTTATGACATTTAACCGAATAGCGGATGGTAGGCTCTACATCGTAAGTATGTTTTTTCGCAAAAAAGGCAATTTTACTAAATGGCTTTTACGAACAAACACTCGTCGTACTTAATAATTTTGAGTGTAACCTATTTTTGCACGTCGCATTTTTCTAACAATTAAAACTATCACCGCAATAGTGCGTACTACCTATAAATATATACAATATAATACAATAGCACACGTTATTCTGTACGCATATATCCCGATAATAGGTACACCCCGGCGAAAGCAAAGCCTATTCAAGGCAAGTCCCTTCTTATACCACACAATTAGTCCCGTAAACGGGGTGTGGGTAATGGATATTTGTTTTTTATTCACCATCCGTCCCTCGCTGAAGTTGTTTTTTGTCTTCCGACCACCCTCTGTTTAACACGTATACGGCGTGCTATTATCGCTATTACGATATACACGTATATTGTAGTTCACGAACAGTATATTATAGTCATAACATTCTCGTATATTTCATCGAAACAGTGGTGCGCGGATTAGGATCGGACGATAACGTTACAAGCTGCACATTCATTATAACAATATATTATAGTATAATATACCTACAACAATATCCTAATTAATTCAAACGAAGAGTATAATGCGCGTGTGTGTGTATCGTGTATATTAAATCAGTGGTTCAAAAACTCTACCCCGAAAATGTATAAACTCCACGGAAAATAATTAATTAAATTGAAATGTTTTATATAAGTTGCATCGTTTCTTTTAGAATAATTAAATATTTATATTTATTTAATATCTCTTGAAAAAAAAACAATTAAAATTTAACTAATCGCCATTGCTGTGAATCATTCTCATCGAGTACACGTAGAAAAAAACAGAGAAAAGACTACTTTCTATATTAAATTGTCGACTGCGCCTTATTATTTAATAGATTATAGTAACCGGTGTGTAAACAAAAGTTTGTCCGAAAAACGATTTTCAGCAGAAACGGCATACATTTCATAAGGCATTTTTATTGTAGTTATTATATTGTAATTTATTTTTCTATTAATGATACAGTATATACAAGGGGTCATCAAATGGCGATCCGCGAACAAATTAAATTATAATAAATAAAAATATGCTTTATAATTATAAATTTTAATTCCCTATCCTTATAAATAATCTAATAATCTAAAATAAAATATTTTACTTAAAAATAATATTCTTTTTATGTAAATTTTATCATGAACTTTTTGTCAAAATTTAAACTTAAAACGCATTTAAAAGAGAACGTGCTTTTGTATTTTTAATATTTTTAAATAACTATAATAATAATTTATGAAGAATTTTGTATCAAATTTTCAGTTTCATCTGCAAAAAACTTTTTATCAACATTCAAAAAAAAAAAAAAATTAAAAACTTTGAGAATTTATTTGTTCATTTTTTTTCTTTTAATTTATTTATTTAATAAAAGTATAGGCTGATAATCCAATAATTACGCAATAATAATTTAAAATGCATATAAAAATCTCTTTAAAATATAATAATTGAATATAGAAAAGATATATAACTATATAAGTAACAGTAAAATATATTATGTTTATATGGCTAATATTTTTTAAATGGCAACAAAATAACCAAAGCCATTATTTTATTATAAGAAATATCCAATTATCTAAAACAAAATCTGATTTTAAAATGCTTATAAAAGTTTAGTGTATTTTTATTATATATTTTTATTTTTAAATTCTTGTAAGAAAAACTGATGAACTATGGTAAATGGTGTATAAAACTTCATAGTAAAACTTTTAGTGTGAAAATTATGTTTTATTAATTTATATTTTTTAAATTTTCGTGATCGTGATAAATTTTGTTAATATTCAAATTAAAACGTTTTTAGAAAAAAAAAAATAATGATTGTCTATTTTATATATTTTTTAATTTTTTTTACTGTAAAAAACCTAAAAGGAAATTTGTATCAAATGTTAAACTTTTTAACTCACGTATGCATTCTTTATTCAAAAAAATAATCTAATACTGTAAATGTTTATAAATAGCATTAAAAGAGCAAATGAATATTTCAAGTTATTACACTTATTATTTTTTAGTTTCCCGATTACTATAAAGAACAAAAGTTACGTCAATTTTGATTTCTTAAAATACAAACTAGATTCAACTTGTCATCAAAAACCACCTAAAGGAGATCAATCATTTTTTTTTAATACAATAAGTAACTTAAAAAAAAGCATATACCTACGTTACATTGTGAAACCAATACATTCACTGATCTTTTAGAATCTAAAATGTGTTCAACCAACAAATTCTAATACCAATGACGTAATCAGCCAAATTACATAATATTTTACACATCACTGTTTCTAAATATCTCTAATTTTAAATTATTAACTGTATGATCTGTATTTTTATGATGCATTATAAAAAAAATAAATTAGTAATCAAATTAAATGTATGTATTTCATAATTATTGACATTTCTGGCATTTTGAGTGTTATAGACTTTTTACTGAAACTTAAGAGCTTCCCGCACACAATAGTTTGAGAACCCTGTGAATATTGAATTATTTAGTTAATACGTATAGTGACGCGTATAATATATGCATGTATATAGAATATATACATAAATTTATATATAAATGCTGTATGCACACTCGGTGGATGGATGACTAAAATTTATGTGCGCATATTCCGTTTCGATAACCATCGCTGGACAGAGGTCATTATCGTGTTTGGTTTTCATTTCCGGTACTTGCTAAAGTCTGACTGCTGGGTATCGTGAGCGTGCACAGCCCCGTAATGTGTAATTCTCATAATGTCCAATAATGAAGTAGGAAAAGAAAATGATGTTCACTTTTTTTTAATTCATATATTTTATAATATTATATATCCAATATCTAGAGCGAAACCTTAGGACTGTGTTAGTTTTACGATATTGTGTTCTTATTATTATTTTTTATTTATATTTGTAATAATCATTTTTATTAAGTATAGAGGATTGATCCAATCACGCCGCATGCAACTAATTAGTAACTCACCATGTTTTTAAAGTGGAACGATACGTAAATTCTATAAATATTTGTAATGGTAATTTTTCTTTTTTTCTAAAATTGTTTTTAAATTTTTGTTAGCAATAATAAATTTTGAGACCATTGCCGAAAACCGTACAGACTCGTTGGCTCATGGTAAACGATAAACTTAACGTTAAGTTGTTCGTAGTTTAACTGAAATATTTCCTAATATTATTACGATGTAAATAGAATAAACAATTGCAATTAAATTGCAATAATTATGGTTATAACTTATAATACAATGCAAATAACTATTTAATTTTTTTTTTAATTCGATTCCTACATTCTATTTTATGCTAATATAATTGAACAAATTAATTTTATTAAATCAATAAAATACATAAATACTGATCAAAAAAAAATTTAACGACCATTATATAATAATAATTTATGGAAGATAAAGTTTTGGATTTGTTAAAGCAATTTGTTTTGCTACAAGCACACAAACTTTAAATACAGTATACTTAATTAAGATTAAAGAATATCTATAGCTAAAATATGTTCCATATAGTACCTAATTTAAATATTACAAACGACAATAGAAAGTGACTGCGATAGCTTCTGAATAATAATTATTTTCCAACCATTAAACTAATATTATTTGTTAACGATATATTTTAAATTTATATAGGTACAATATGCAAGAGATACATACTCGTTATTTGTGTTTTACTACTAATTGCTATTTGACTGTACGAGTTTTAATGCTAATTGAGCATTAAAGTGCAAGTGTCGACGAAGTGAATACATGTATAGGTATTACATCTATAAGTTAACTTATAAGACTATAAATTATGATTCTCTATTATAATTGTTTATAATACTCAGTCAAAATTAACAACGCGGCCATGGACTGCAACGTAAAAGTTTCCTAGAAAAGAAGAAAGTCAGCATTATGTTTTTAATAGTCTTTGATCC